CAGTCCACAATAAAGTGCGTCTCATAAAAAATTTTGTTGGAGGGCTCTAAATATAGGAGGGCTGTATATATATATATATATATATATATAGACATTGTATTTCAGCATCTTATTTTTCTATAGTTAAAAAATTACCCTCCTGTATCATCCAGATATTTGGTGGTGTTGGCATTGCCTGTCTCCCTCTGGGACTCATATTTTCATTCATCCGGCGTCCAAAGGCTGTTATTACCCGGTCACAGTATATCAAGGTACTACTTTTTTGTCTATCATGTGTGTATAAGTTTAAACGATGAATATTGTTGTGATTTCTTATGTTTGGTTTCTCTTGTACACTTTAGGAAGCCACTGAACTGGGTAAGAAAGCAAAAGAATTGAAAAAAGCAGCCGATGCACTCCATCAAGAAGAAAGAAGTGGTTCCAAGGGTAGAAAATGGCGTAAAAATGTGAAGGCAGTAGAGAAGGTATATTTAACACTCCAAGTCTAAAGTTTAGTCACATTTAGGCACCAGCTTTTATGTTTGCTTTGGTGCGTGCATCATTTAACCTAATTGGAAAGGGAGTGCATGTACTGTGTTGGATCCTTTGTGCTCCAAGCATTAGCTATGAAGCTTCAATGGGTGTCAGAAAATTCCTTTGGAAAAATTGAATTTATTTTCTGAAATATGATGTTTGCCTTTGTATGTGCTGTTATTGAAAGTTATTTAACGTTTGCTAATGGCTTAACTGTCTCATTACAAAAAAGTTGATGCTTGCTTAACCTTGCAGGAGTTGCTTCAATTAGAAGAAGACGTAAAACTTCTAGAAGAGGTTTATCCTCAAGGAGAGAAGGTAAAGGGTGACACATGTGACTTCTTCACTTTCCATATATCAAACTATTTCTCCCTTTTATTTCTAATCTTCTTGCCTCACTTCAGGCTGAGACTAGTTGGGCTATGACTGTTCTTGGGTACTTGGCGAAGCTTGTGTTGGGAATTTTAGGGTGAGTGCTGTTGTTCCATTTAATGCTGCTTTAAATAGTTTTGGCTTCTTGACTTGAGAGTTGAGCTGGGATGGATATTTGGAAGAGTAAAGTTTTAGATAAGGAAGAAGCAAATATGAAGTAAATATGAAGCCAATAGCAGTATCAAAATCTTGCAGCCAATAGGAAATCAATAGAGTTCAGTTCAAGAGCCATGGTGCATGTGAAAATATCTGATTGCGTTTAGGTAAATATGAAGTAATTGCCCTTCTGGTGTATGCGTTTCAGTATGGTCTATTTTTGTTGGTGCTTACTGTAGGTAGCAATGTAAATAGATAGCTAATGTTGTAACAGTTCTATCAAGAATGCATTTTTTAAAGATATGATGTGCTATCATTCATGGTGATGTTGTAGTATGCGGATTGCCATGGTTTTCCTTTTTCTTGTGTGTCGTCATTTTCTAAGGATCTTGACAAGATTTATTGACATAAAAAACCTTTTGCCTGTGTTTTTCAGATTGATTGTCTCAGTGGCCTGGATTGCTCATATCGTCATCTATCTATTGATCAGCCCACCGCTTTCTCCTTTTTTGAATGAGGTTTTCATCAAGCTGGATGATATATGGGGTACTTTCAGAATATATTTCTCTTGCCTCTATGTTGTTATTATTCTACTTAACGGATACGATTTTGATATGCTTATTATTTTCCACCAGGTCTTTTGGGAACTGTTGCATTTGCGTTCTTCTGCTTTTACCTCCTCCTTGCAGTCATTGCTGGGGCCATGATGCTTGGGATGAAATTAGTTTTCATTACTATTCATCCAATGAAGTAATGATTTTTCCATTTTAGCCTTATTTATTCAATAATGCTTGTAGAGACCTTTAAATTTTTGCCCCTAAGAGCTTTGGTTGCTCATAAATGTAATTTACTTGTTTCAGGTGGGGAGCGACTCTTATGAATTCATTTTTATTTAACGTGGGACTTATTCTCCTTTGCTCCATCAGGTTAGTATCTTTTATCCTTTGTGCTTCTTATTACATGCTAGATGAAGTCTGTGCACGGTCATGGTTCCCTTTCTGAAGATTTTTTGAGATTGCAACTGTAACTAATGTTGAATTCCTTTGTTTCAGTGTGATTCAGTTCTGCTCCACAGCATTTGCATACTATGCTCAAGCAACTGCAGCCCAGGAAATATTTGGTCACACATTGCAATCTCTTCGTGGAATAAGATATTTGTACAAGTGAGTTCTTTTCTTTGCACTGATTCATTCTGATTAGACATGTACGTTTACTGATTTGCCTATACATTTTGGTGTTGCATTACAGGTACAATGTGTTTCAAATTGCATTTATTGTCCTGGCGGGTTTGACCTTCGTGTACTATGCTGCCTTTGTACGTCTACAAACCATATATTCTTGTTCGGTTTATTTGTCTTCTTCTACGTGCTTCTTAAAGTAATGCGGTTTTTGTTTGTGTTCAAAATTTCAGGGATGGAGAAGAAAAAAACCAAGTGGCAGGTTCCAACTTTCCTCGTAATTCATGTTTTGTCTAGAACAGCGTGCACCCACCTGGAGCTTTTGGGGTTCTCAGTTTTATCATCTCTTTTCGGAGTGGTTTTCTTGGATGTGCATGGCCTAGTTTTGATATATATTGAAAGGTTTCGGTTGAGTAGGCAGAGATGTCATCCGAGTTTGCATTGGGTTTTAGTGGAGGGGGAGTGGCACCGCTGTTTGTTTTTCTGCGTGTATTTCCCCATTTGTATGTATTAATTCCTTCATTTGACCTTTTGTGTTATAAAATTGGTTTGGGCTTGTAATCGTGTTAATCCTTTGCACACTGGGAAACTGGATGTCTAGAACTACCCTTGATGTAACATAACCATTCGGATCAAATTATTGTATGAGCAGCCATATTTAGTTTCACATTTGTGGACATGTACCTACTGCTACATCATGTTCTCCAGAAGTAAACTAGGGTTTCGAAGATAATCATTTGCCAAAACTCTTCTCAGGATGTAGAATGGCATTTGTAATTCTGACAAGAGTCTTTTGGTACAAAGGAAATGCCGAGGGCTTGGAAGAGCGAGAGTTGAACTCTTTTCTCTGAGGGGAGAGGTTATTAAATGGTTTATGGCCATTAACTAACATGCATAATTATATCTTAATTGTCGCTAAGTCCCCAGTGGATTAGTGCTTGAGCAACGCTGTGATCAGCAATGTTAAAAGTTGTTCCATCACCACAGGGAGGGTCATAAGGCGAACTCTCTGCAAATTCTGTTGGCAATGACTTCCAGTGAAGGCTGGGTTCCCAGTCTGCTTCTCTAAGGACCTTCAGTATCTCCTCCACCACAATCTTGCTCCCCGCAGCTGAAAAATGGATTCCATCCCTGGACGATGGTCGATCCAATTGGTTAAGCGAAGGAGTTAATCTTTGATCAAGCTGAGTTTATAGAAAATAGATGTAATTAATTGGAAGCATAAACTAAAATATGAAACTGCACGTACGTAAAGCAAACAGTTGACCAGTCTTTTCTCCTCTGAATTGAAGTCCACAGATCAACAGCCTTGACATCTAACTCTCGGCAGACCTCTAAACAAGCATCTGAGTAGATTTTGCAGGACTCATTTGTTCGATTCCGCTCGGGAATTATGTCTCTGATTTTGGTTTAAAAAAAAGGAAGGAACAGAAAAGAGAAAAGCTCCTGAGAACTCAGCAAAAGGAAATGAAGAAAGAATCACAAATCATCACCATATAAGCACCTTAAATTTTCAAGAATTTGTTCCTCATTGACAGGAGGAGCAGTGAGAAAGATAATGCGAATTTTTTCTGAAAGGCTCTGCCAACCAAATGTATCTGTCACTGTTAGAATAATATGCATTGCACACAAAACAAGTTGTTCATATAAATTTCATCCATCTGCATATATGTATATATAAATAAGCTGAGATGATGAGAGATTATTTTTACCTTTAAATATTTACCAATCTTCCTCATGTTTTCTACATATTCAGGAAGCGGTACATGAGGGCCTAAGCCTGATGAATGAGGCAGCATTGAATCATTGCCACCAAAATAAACTATTACCAGAGATGGCTGAATTGCTGCATCCTATACATGTCAAATATAATTACACAACATCAGCATCAAACTACGGCCATGTTTGGTGCCTAGGATTTCAGTTAATGCACAATGTCCGAGTCTGAATTCACTATAAATGTACAATACCTTGGGAAAAACTTGCTCTAGAACCTGAAGAGCACGCCTCGAGTTCCAGCCAGCATATCCTCGCAGCACTACGTCCGCCTATCCCCGAAATTTTATAAGATCAGTGATGCCATTAACAAGGAACTTAATATACAGTTTGACATGATGGAAGTTTAGCAGATAAACACATGTAAGGCTTCCAGGTTATGTAAAAGAGGGGGGCCCGGGCAAAAGAAAAGCACCCTTGAAAATGAGTTGAGTCATTAATTTGACTGTTTGAATATGCAGTGAAAAACTCTTATCTGATCATTGGTTTAAATCAATGAAAAAAGTTTATGTGTATTTTTCAAAGAAAGAGACGATTTGACTGTGACTCATCAGAAGGAAACCCAGGAAATTAAAAAACCTCACAGATAACGCCATGACTTTTGATCATCATGGAATCTTTTCTTTGTTTATTATTCAGTAGCAGTTAAAGCAGAAAACAAAAGTACATGATTTCTTCGTTTATCAGAATTGCCCAAGTGGTGGAGAAATTATAGAATAGTACAGATACACCACATCAGCATGTGATACTCCTATTTAAAAGGGAGTTTCACTAAAACACCCAAAATGGGGGCTTAAATTATAAAAAAACCCAAGCACTATTTAAACATATAAACACGTCCAAAACCCATCATTATACATACTCAAAATTCATTTATAAACACACCCAAAAAGTTGACTTTGGGGTTGATTTTGGGTGTGTTTCTATGTTTAAATAGTGCTTGGGTTTTTCTATAAATACATGTCTAGAATTGGGTTTATTAATAAATTTGTAATTTAGAGATTGTAATATTGACATGTGTCTATTTTAAAACAGAAATTAAATATTTGTTTACAGCTAGACTTATATTTGTGTCCATTTTATATCTCTTTTTTTTTCTTCTTTTTTCTTAAGTTTTTCAATTTTATAAAAATTAAGAAATAAATCCAGCTGCAAAAAAGTTTAATTTTTATTTTAAAATAGACACATGACAATATTTGAATGGAAGTATCACATGAGGACGTGGTATATCCGTAATATTTTATAATTTCTCCAAGTGGTGGACCTATCCGTAATATTTTATAATTTCTTCAAGTGGTGGACCTAGTGGTCCAATATATTGCCTTTTAAAAAAAAAAAATCAGAAGAACAAGCTCCTAAAAATAAAATAAATAAATATATATTGCCTGACGTATTAATTAATTGATTAATTATGAGTTTCACTGTAGCAGCGTAATGAGCACAGCAACAATGAATTATTTTATTTTCTGTGGCTGCAAATTAAGCATGAAAAAGAAAGCATTCTGGTTCATCGATGCGTGTGTGAGTGTGAACCAAGTCAAATATATGAACGGAGTTAACAAGATCAATGATCATGCATGTAAGGATATCAAAAGCGAGCATGCAATGCATGAATGAAGTAGAGAGATGCGCTTGAGAGATTAAGAAACGTGGACCCCACCACTAAGCTAATTGCCCACGTATGTACCGAGTTAACAACTTAATAAGAAAAAATAAGAAAAAAGAGAGATTAATTTGTTGCTTTGCTCCTTTCTTGTTAATTAATTTTAAAAAAACCATATATGTTGATCATCATAAACCCCAATCAATAGATATAGAAGCTGAAAACCAGGTTTAGGAAATTAATTAGGGAAATTAATTAGATTAAGTGAAGTAAGTACCTTACGAGAATACAAGTCAGCAAGAATGGCACCCCAGCCTCCATTGCTGCAACTGAACTGGACGATGGACGAACCAAACAGCACAAACTGCGGTCTTAATGGCCCAACCATCTCTCTCTCTCTCTCTCTCTCTCTCTCTGGAAAACACAGTTTGGAGGATAAGCTTAGGTATTTGTCTCTCACCTGGATTCTTTGTTTATTTGATGCAATCCCCAATGAGTGACGACGAGCACAAACTTATATATAGACCACGTCATGGTCGACGAGGTAAGTGTGGTTCTAATGAATTTACAAAGAAAACCACAAAACATATCAAACACACTTTTGCCACTTTGGTCAACTCGGTAATTTCATTGTAATTTTCTTGTAACTTCATTGCTAATGACAAGAATCAAACGAAGAGAAAAGATTCCAATTCAAACACAGTTGGGTCATTAGGATAATTTTTTAAAACTAGTGGGGACTAACCAATACTTTCCTGAAATTACAAGAAGAAAAGGAAAATATTCAAAATACTGGGGTTGGTTCTGATATTGTACTATTTTTTGGGGCAGAAGTTTCATTTTCAAAACTTTTTTTTTCTCCCCCGATCTCCCGAGTAGGTTTGCCTCCTCCTAGCTTCTGTTTCTGAGCAAGAAGAAGACGATGGACATAGCTCTCTTTTCCCCATCTTCACTTTTCCATGATGACGAGGATGACACTTCCAGTGGTTTTATCTCTCTCTCTCTCTCTCCAAGGAGCTCCCAATTTTAGCTGATATGGCGAAAATATACTGATTTGGCTTGGCCTTATTTGCAGGTGAGGAAGACACAGAGAGCCAGCAAAGCTACGTCGAGAGGAGGCATAAGTTTCCGGGGATGGTAAGTCTATTCCTTTATTTGGTCAATACCCAGAAACGTAAATTTGTCTCTCAGTTGTTCTAACTGTTAATCTCTTGTTAATTTGTTAATGTGGTCGTTTATATATATATATATATATATATATTTATTTATTTATTTATTCACACTTGTTCTTTCCAGTTTGTTTTGTCACATTTCTTCTTTTATGTTATTTCCCTATTTGAAATCAGTTTTTTTCTGTTTCTGAGCTTGAATGTTTGAATTTCCAAGTTTTCATATTAAAGTTCTGTGGATGGTGATAAGCAAATGGTTTTGATAGCATATATCAATGGATAAATCAAAAAGCATGTATTAGTTCAATTCCGTACAATCGGATAATTAGGTGCACTCACTTCAGAGAGCAGTAGCTGCTTTTTACTAGAGTTGTTTTGGCCTTTCATTGAACATCCCAAGAGGTTATTTTTTTTGGGTCTGGTTCTTGATTGCTTCTTTGTAGAGTTTGGTACTATATAGTTTGAAGTTCTTTAAACCAATTTATGTAACTTGGTTTGTTTCAGGAGTTGGTCATCCGAGAATTTTCGTTTCATCAGCTGAATGCCAATTTACTCTGGCCTGGGACATTTGCATTTGCAGAATGGTTAGTTGAACGCAGGCCGTCGATTGAAGGACGGCATTGTCTTGAACTGGGCAGGTATTTCTAAACTGTGCCACATCCATCTCTGCATCACAAGAATACTTGAATGCTTTTCTTTTTCTTGTTTGTCCCACTTCTAGTGATTGGGGATCCTGAGTAGTGATTGCATCACATGGATACTTTTTTTTTCACATGGGGCAAAACCTTGCTTATGTTGTTCTAAAGCTGAACCCCATTCTACTATCTAGAATTTGTTTTTCTCCTGGAGTTGGTAAGATGCAAACGCCTGGCATCCGTACTGTGTAGTTTGAATAACTTCTCAGGAAAACATTTGTGGAATTGGAGTTAATTTTTAGTTTATGCTTTTCCAATGTCCTTCATTTCATCTTATACCAGACATATGTTTGATATAAATTTTGAGTCTGATTGATATTGATAGTTGCCCTGATGATGTTGATTTGTCTACTGATTGGCAGTGGCACTGGTGCTTTGGCCATTTTTCTTCGAAGATTGCTTAATCTTGACATCACTACATCAGACTATAATGATCAGGCAATTGAAGAAAATATAGCTCATAACTGCAGGGTAAATGGAATTACACCTGTCCTTCCTCATATAAAGCGTATGTCATCTTTCATTTCATGTTATACCATACATATGTTTAGTGGACTTGTAATTGGTTTAGGTTTAAAGGATTTGCTGGGATTTTGTTAAATTCATGCCGTGGATACTAATTTTTCAGATACGTGGGGTGACACTTT